CCCTGTGCAGAATCCTGGAAGGGAAGGCACTGATGGTGAAGATACGAAACATGCAAAAGCGGTAAACCACGTGTCTTGGAATTCTTTCCCAAGCCACACAAACAATTCCTCAGAAAATAACTGAATGCCACTGTGCTGGTCATTTGTCCATTTGTTCTCCCATCCATTCTCTGTCCTTCCTTTACTCTGCTCTGGATTGCAGGGCACTGACCTCTGCAAACTACATTTCCAAACCAGTTTCTCTTTGATAACTGGTTTCTAGTTAGAATTGACCAGTGGGGAGGCAATGACTGGAGATCAGAGGGCAGGAAGTGGCAAAGCCAGGGTGTTTTTCCTCCTTTCTCTCTCTGCTTTGTGTGGAATCTCAGGCAGGGCTTGAGCCTTTGCCATGGTTCCAACTCTCTCCAGGATTCCTAAGCTCTGCTTCTACCACTTCCTCCCTATGTTTCTCCCACCTTGGGAGCAATAGCAGTTTCCTGACGTTTGCAAACCCTTTGTTGCCTCTCTGACTTCTGATTCCTCTTAGGTCTCCCATCGCTTTTGTGACCAAGTCCCCGCGTTGAATTTCTTCTATGAAGATACGTTGGTTCTACATTCCTGGACCTTGAATGATACTGCCACCTTTCAAATTCCTGCCACATGCTGCTAATACCTGCCCTTAGTTCTATGCTTTTGACCAGACTCCCCCTCAATGCTTTTTTTTTTTTTTTTTTTGAGACAAAGTCTCACTCTATCACCAAGCTGGAATGCAGTGGTGTGATCTCGGCTCACTACAACCTCTGCCTCCTGGGTTCAAGCGATTCTCCTGCCTCAGCCTCCTGAGTAGCTGAGACTACAGTCATGTGCCACCACGCCCAGATAATTTTTTAGTAGAGAGGGGGTTTCACCATCTTGGCCATGATGGTCTCGATCTCTTGGCCTCATGATCCACCAGCTTCGGACTCCCAAAGTGCTGGGATTACCGGTTGAGCCACCACGCCCGGTGTGAGCCACTGCGTCCAGCCCTGCATTCTTAATACTTGTTTGCTTTCATATCTACCCTGAAAGTGTAAAATAAAAATCTCTACCTTTTATAAAAGTGAAATATTTATAGAAACCTACCCTAAGTATTTACTTCTCAAGACCAGAAATGGCAGTGATTTTAGTGAATGTCTATCAAGTGTTGGTACGGAGCTAGACACTACAAAAATATTTTCTGGAATCCTCACCTGCAAGGTAGTTACTACTCCCTGTTTCCAAAAGGAGAAAGCTAAGGCTCTGACCCGTTGACTAACAGGATTGCATAGCTAGTAGATGGTGAGGTGCAGCTGCACACTTTCATCTGGGTGCCACAAGTGCTTTCCACTGCTCTAATCCACTTTCCCAACTCACTCCATGCCTATCATTATGTTAATCCACATTTGCTTATCCTTTTGATTTTAACAAGCACAGTAGGTTTTATTATACGCTTACATAGCAATTTCAGGATCACATGAAAGACACATGAATTTAGGAAATGTTAAGTACAGACAGAGAACCAATTGTGTCTTAGATCAGTAATTGTACATGGTTGTAAACATCATTCCAACTACCATTTGTACACTTGAACCATGGAAACAAAATCTATTTAATGAGTTAATTCTATCATCTAAAATTAATCATACATTTTAATATCTTTGAGTACCACAGTGAAGTTCATACAGAACAGGTACTTTCATTTATTCTACAGAAAATGGAGAACTGAAGTAGTCGTTGCTTTTCCTAATTATTGAACCTCTGTTTTGAATGGAGGAAGCTGCTTCCTGAGAGAAGAGACCCCTGTAACAGGAGTTATAATGGAAGCAGGTCCCAGCCACTACAAGCTTTAAATCCAAAAGGCATCCTAATGCCCTATTTGCCCAGAAACACAAAGGCATGCACACAAGTTTATATGTTATTTTCAAGCTTCATGTCCAAAGAAACTAGAAAAACAAGCATAAACCAAAGATATGCCAAGGCTAACATATCAAATGGGAATTAACTACAAATGAGAAAGAACCAATTCTATTTTAAATAGAAAATAAAATAGGACCCTATCTTCCTCCTTTCACCGTCAAACCCTTGAACAGTGACATTTATCTTCAGTAGTTACAAGTCCTCAGAAGAAATTTGGCCTAATTTCACAGGTAACACTTGCATATATACACAAGTAGCTTGCATATGTACACATAGATTTGTAGCTTGTGGATTTTTCTGTGACAAATTAATATTCCACACTGGTTTCTCCCAGCTGCCTGGATTCACTGTTGCCAATTCCTTCCAGCCTTGGCTGCCATGTGTTAAGAAATAACAAATAAATAATAGTATATTGTCAAGTAAAACACAAGCACTCTGTAAACCTCTCCAATAAAAAGAAACCCATAATCTAAATACACATTTCAAGGCAAAGAGAAAAGATTTCTTAGATGGTCTAGTGTTCTAAAAATATCTGTGCCCCTGATCCCTTATAATAACAAAGATAATCAGAAGTTAAATAAAATTACACTGATTTGGTCATTATACAATGTCTGCATATATTGAATCACACTACCCTGTAATATGTACAATTATTATATGTCAATTATAATTCAAAATTAAATTTAAAAATTTTAAGTTAATTTTCTTTGCTTATCCCAAAGCAAAGTGAAAGTATGTAGAACTTAATTCTGATTAACTCACAAAAAAATGGGGTAAAAATAATCCTTTTTTTAAATACTCATTTTAACAATCCACAATAAATTTTTGCTTTCCCAACAAATTCTAATTTCAGCCATTTAATAGAAAGATTCTGTTCATCATATTAGGCCAGGTTTTTTTAAAGTTTCAAATGTTTTCATGTGGAACTAATTATAAAATTATTTTCTAGGCCGGGCGCGGTGGCTCGCACCTGTAATCCCAGCACTTTGGGAGGCCGAGGCAGGCGGATCACGAGGTCAAGAGATTGAGACCATCCTGGCCAACATGGTGAAAACCCGTCTCTACTAAAAGTACAAAAAATTACCGGGGCGTGGTGGTGCATGCCTGTAGTCCCAGCTACTCGGGAAGCTGAGACAGGAGAATTGCTTGAAACCGGAAAACGGAAGTTGCAGTGAGCAGGGATCACACCACCACACTCCAGCCTAGTGACAGAGTGAGACTTTGTCTCAAAATATATATATATTTTTTTTTCTGGACTTTAATTAGCTATAAAATATACTCATTACTAAACAGATGGGTTTGTTTTTATACTATCCTATTTTTAGATACATCTGGGGAAGACTGCATAACTTCTTGTGACTGAGTGCTGCCTCTAGAATAGCCAATCCTGTCTTCTTTCCCCCAGGATCCTTTTTGCTGGCTATTGTGAATAATGCTGCATGAATTTGGGAGTCCAGATATTTCTTCGAGATACTAATTTCAATTCCTTCAGATACATACCCAGAAATGGGATTGCTGGGTCACATGGTAGTTTTATTTTGTTTTTTGATGAACCTTCATACTGTTTATTTTCTTCACTCTTTTCATAGTTGTGTTGTACTCCATTCTATGGGTGGATAACCCATAATTTATTTAATCAGTCTCCTGCTGTTGAATAGTTGTATCGTTTCCAGTATTTTTCTCCTAAAAAAATGCAATGAAAAATTTTATATTGTTTCATTCCTTATGTATATAGATATATCTGTAGTATAAATTCTCAGAAGTGGAATTACTAGGTCAAAAGGAAAAGTGAATTTATTAATATATTAAACAGCCTGTTTCCCCACAGACTTGCCAATGGAGTATATTTGCTATATATTCTATAAACAGAAACCGATTGAATAAGAATATTTTTACTTCCATTATGAGAATACGAAGTATACTTTTTTATATTCCAAATCATTCTTACAAAGAATGGGATGCTAAATTGTTTTGTTTTGTTTTGTTTTGTTTTGTTTTGATAAATAGAGGCAGGGTCTGTGTTGCCCCGGCTGGTCTCAAACTCCTGGACTCAAGTGATCCTCCTGCCTTGGCCTCCCAAAGTTTTAAATCTTTCAAATGGTCCCCCCAAAGTTTCAATCTGTTGTTATTCCAGGCAGGAGCCACCATGCCAGGGCCCCAAATTGCTTTTTGTTTTGTTTGTTTGCTTGCTTGCTTGTTTGTTTTTTGAGATGGAGTCTCACTCTGTCACCAAGGCTGGAGTACAGTGGCGCCATCTCTGCTCACTGCAACCTCCCCCTCCCAGGTTCAACCGATTCTCCTGCCTCAGCCTCCCAGCTAATTTTTTGTATTTTTGATAGATTTTGCCATGTTGGCTAGGCTTGTCTCAAACTCCTAACCTCAAGTGATCCTCCTGCCTCAGCCTCCCAGAGCGCTGGGATTATAGGTGTGTGCCACCACACCCGGCTGACCAAATTAGTTTTAATTAGAGTATCTAAATACACTTCTATACTATCTTACTTATTTAATTACTTTGGGAAAAAAATTAGTACCAGAAATGATGTAATACTTTATGTGCCTATTCTCTTTATGTTTTAATTCTATTTAATTCTATTGTTGCTTACTAGTCCAAGCTCAAAAAACATGCATTAAAAACCCATATTTTAAAAATTTAGTTATCCTGTAAGAAATATTCTTTTGAAAAACAGTCTGTGTAAGTACCTAAATTTCTCAAGTTGTCTAGCATCAGTGGCTAAAACAATATGTAAAAATAAAAACAGAAAAAAGAGCAGTAGTCAGTAACTCACCACTTAAACAGATAGCTTAAAATAGAAATTCCTAGGCAATTCAATGGCACATACTAGTGGAAAATATTACATTCACCAAGTCAGAATTGACTGTGGATCATCAAAAGAGTGGTTGTTACCATCATTTAGTAACTTGAGGCTTCTCAATTTGAGGTGCTATGTAAATTGAAGGCATTTGTTTTCTACAAAAAAAAAACACAATTTGGGTTTAATTCTAGCTCTGCCACTTGCTTCATGTGTTACCTTAAGCAAATTAACCACTCCAAGCCTCAGTATTTCCATCTATAAAATGGGGCTGCCATGCTCACTTTGGCAGCATATATACTAAAAACTGGAACAATACAAAGATTAGCATGGCCCCTGGGCAAAGATGGCATGCAAATTCATGAAGCATTCCATATTTTTAACAGACAACCCCTAATGGGAGATAATGGGAGAAAATTTCAACCCAGAATGGGAGAAAATGTTTGCAATCTATCCATCTGACAAAGGTCTAATATCCAGAATCTACAAGGAACTTAAATAAATTGATGGTTAAAAAAAAAAAAACTCCATTAAAATGTGGGCAAAGGGCATCCGTAGACACTTCTCAAAAGAAGACATTCATGCAGCCAACAAACATATGCAAAAAAGCTCAACATCACTGATCATTAGAGAAATGCAAATCAAAACCACAATGCAATACCATCTCATGCTAGTCAGAATGGCTATTACTAAAAAAAAAAAAAACAAGAAACAACAGATACTGGTGAGGTTGTGAAGAAAAAGAAACACTTTACACTGTTGGTGGGAATGTAGATTAGTTCAACTATTGCACTTTACACTGTTGGTGGGAATGTAGATTAGTTCAACTATTGTGGAAGACAGTGGGGTGATTCCTCAAAGATCTAGAAACGGGAATACTATATGATCCAGCAATTGCATTACTAGGTATATACCTGAAGGAATAAAAATCATTCTATTATAAAGATACATGCATGTATATGTTCATTGCAGCACTATTCACAGTAGCAAAGATATGGGATCAACCCAAATGCCCATCAACAGTCAACGGAATAAAGAAAATGTGGTACGTATACACTGTGGAATACTATGAAGCCATATAAAGAAATCAGATCATGTCCTTTCCAGGGACATGGATGGAGCTGGAAACCGTTATTCTCAGCAAACTAATGCAGGTACAGAAAACTAAACACCACATGTTCCACCACAAGTGGAAGCTGAACTATGAGAACACATGAACACATGGGGGGAATGACACACACTGAGGTCTGTTGAGGATGGGTGTGGGGGAGGGAGAACATTAGGAAGAACAGCTAATAGGTACTGGGCTTAATACCTGGGTGATGGGTTGCTCTGTGCAGCAACGCACTATGGCATATGTTTACCTATGTAACAAACCTGCACATCCTGCATATGTACCCCAGAACTTAAAAGTTGATTTTTTAAAATAGGGCTGCCAGACATCATGGCTTATGCCTGTAGTCCCAGCTACTCAAAAGGCAGAGGCCTGAGGATCACTTGAGCTAAGGGGTTCCAGGCTGTAGCATGCAATGATCATAACTGTCAATAGCCACTACACTCTAACCTGGACAACACAGAAACGGCTAATAGTAGTAGCTACTCCACAGAATAGCTCTTCATGGAGAAAATTAAATTGGATAGCACTTATAAAGTACTTATCAGAGTGTGTGGTATATAGCATGCCTTCTACTAATAGTAAGTACAATGAACATTCTCTAATTTCAAGCTTTTTCCAACATATAATGTTACATTGCTAATCCTTTATTATAAAATGTACTTGGCCATTTGAGATGGCTTACAGTTATAATCCCAGAAATTTGGGAGGCCATATGGGGAGGATCACTTGAAGCCAGGAGTTCCAGACCAGCCTGAGCAACAAAGTGAGGCCCTGTCTCTACAATAAATAAATAAATAAATAAATAAATAATCAAGTGTGGTGGTGTGTGCCTATAGTCCCAGCTACTCAGGAGGGTGAGGCAGGGAAATCATTTGATTGCCCAGGAGTTCAAGGCTGCAATGAGCTATGATCATGTGACTGCACTCTAACCTGGGTGACAGAGCAAGACCCTATTGCTTAAAAAAAACAAAAAAGTACTTAAAAAAATTTTAAAACCTGACACAATCTGATGTGAGAAAGACTGCCTCTGAAGCCCAGGAAATTTGAGTGACAAATACAGATTCTTGGCTTAATGGTCTAGTACTCTAGGCCTCTGGTTTTCAAACTGAGTTCTGTGGAATCCTGTTTTTGTTTTTGTTGGCTTTCTTTGAGACAGAGTCTCGCTCTGTCACCCAGGATGGAGTGAAGTGGCTCAATCTTAGCTCACTGCAACCTCCGCCTCCCAGGTTCAAGCAATTCTCCTGCCTCAGCCTCCCGAGTAGCTGGGACCACAGACGCTCACCACCACACCCAGCTAATTTTTGTATTTTTAGTAGAGATGGGATTTCACCTTTTGGCCAGGTTGGTCTTGATCTCCTGACTTCAAGTGATCTGCCCACCTCAGCCCCTCAAAATGCTGGGATTACAGGCATGAGCCATGATGTTCAGCCCAAATCCTGATTCTAAGGAGGTACTCTAGAGGTTCACAAATATTTCATTAGAATTTTACATTAAAACTATGATTTAGCACCAGGTGCAGTGGTTCATGCCTGTAATTCCAGCATTTTAGGAGGCCAAGGTAGGCAGATTGCTTGAGGACAAGAGTTCAAGACCAGCTTGGCCAACATAGGAAAACCCTGTCTCTGCTAAAAATACAACAACAACAAAAAATAGCTGAGCAGGGTGGTGTACACCTGTAATCCCAGCTACTTAGGAGGCTGAGGCATGAGAATCACTTGAACCTGGGAGGCAGAGGTTACAGTGAATCAAGATTACACCACTGCACTCTAGGCTAGGCAACAGAGCAAGACTCTGTTTCAAAAGAAATTAGTAAATAAATAAATAAAATAAAAATTAATTAATTAAAAAATAAAACTATGATATATAAAACCAACTGAATTCTCAATGTGTTATACAGAAATATCCTGGAGGTTACCAACAAATTGATACTTATGCTACCAGAGAACTCATTTTGTAGAGACCTCAGAATAAAGCTTCCTCTGCCATCTGCTTAATTGAAGAGTATCAAGAAAATCAAGCTATTAAATATCTGCCAGAATGTGAATGAGTTAGAATGTTCCCCACACTTTACAGACAAAACAAATACAGATATAAATTATATGCAAAGGCCATCTATAACCTTGATTTCACATTTGGCCTGAATAAAATAGCTTCCTTGTTCTTGCTGATTTATTTGCTAAAAATAAATGCTGTACTTTTCAATTAACTAAATCCATGCTATAAAACAGCTCATCATTAGATTTTGTCTGCGAACAATCTCATGTTTAAAAGTGTATGGAGCCGGGCATGGTGGCTCACACGTGTAAGCCCAGCACTTTGGGAGGCTGAAGCAGGTGGATTGCCTGAGGTTAGGAGTTCCAGACCAGCCTGGCAACATGGGGAAACCCTGTCTCTACTAAAAATATAAAATTCAGTGTGGTGTGCTCGTGGACACCTGTAATTTCAGCTACTTTGGGAGGCTGAGGCACAAGAATCTCTTGAACCCGGGAGGCAGAGGTTGCAGTGAGCCAAAATTGCACCACTGCATTCCAGCCTGGCAACAGAGCAAGACTCTGTCTCAAAAAAAGAAAAAGTATGCAAAGTGCTTCTCAAACAAACTGTAGGAATGTGTTTAGGACAGCAAAAAAAAAGAAGTTGATTTTATAGGTACAGATTTTGATTGAGAAGAAAAAGCGGGCAAATGAATACTAACAAGAAAATGTGAGCTGATAAGATGGAAAAAATATGAATTGAATAAAGCTTTCAGTCAGGTGTGGTGCCTCTCACCTGTAATCCCAGCATTTTGGGAAGTGAGGTGGGAGGATCACTTGAGCCTAGGAGTTAAAGACCAGCTTAGGCAACATAGTGAGACCCAGTTTCTACAAAAAATATAAAGAATAGCCACATGTGGTCGTGTGTGCCTGTAGTCCCAGCTTCTTGGGAGGCTGGGCAGGAGGACGTTTGAGCCTAGGAATTTGAGGCTGCAGTATGCCATGCTGCTTCACTGCACTCCAGCCTGGGTAACAAAGCAAGACTCTGTCTCAAAAAATTAAAAGAAAAAATAGACTGGGCATGGTGGCTCATGCCTGTAACCTAGCACTTTGGGAAGCCGAGGTGGGTGTCTCATTTGAGGTCAGGAGTTTGAGACCAGCCTGGCTAACATGGTGAAACCTTGCCTCTACTAAAAATTAAAAAATTAGCCATGCGTGGTGGCAGGCACCTGTAGTCCCAGCTGCTCAGGAGGCTGAGGCAGGAGAATCACTTGAACCCGGGAAGTGGAGGTTACAGTGAGCTGAGGTCATGCCACTGCACTCCAGTCTGGGCAACAGAGCAACACTCTGTCTCAAAAATAAATAATTAATTAAAATAAAATAAGATAAAGGTTGCAGTTAAATCATATAGAACAAATGTACAATTGAAGATAAATGTGTGCATATATATACATATATATGTATATGTGTGTGTGTGTGTGTGTGAGAAATATATATATATACAAGTAAAAAATGTGGAATGGGCCAGGCACGGTGGCTCATGCCTGTCATCACAACACTTTGGCAGGCTGAGGTGAGTGGATCACTTGAGTCCACAAGTTCACAAGTTCACAAGTTCACAATCAGCCTGGTCAACATAGTGAAACCCCATCTCTATCTAAAAGAAAAGAAAAAAAAGAAAGAAAAGAAAAGAGACAGTGAGAAAGGAAGGAAAGAAACAAGAAAGGGAGGGAGGGAAGGAGGAAGGAAAGAGAGAGAAAAAAAGAAGGAGGAAGGGAAGGAAGGAAAGAAGAAAGGAGGAAGGGAGGGGAAAAAGGAAAGAAGAGAAGGAAAGAAGAAAGGAAGGAGGGAAGGAAAGAGGAAAGGAGGGAGGGGAGAAAGAAAGGAAGGAAAGGAGAAAGGAGGGAGAAAGGGGAGGAAGAAAGGTTGCAGAATTTGATTTAAAAAATACATTATATACTTGCTCCTCACTCCTATAATATTTGTAGTCCATAGAATAAGCAAACGATTTCTCTAGTGGCATGGAAAAGGGAAAGTTTAAATTATCCCTGACTACGGATTTGTGGTCATGATCAGGTACCAAGGGATTTAGAAGGTATTGTTCTTAAAGAGTTAAGCAGGCAGAGCAGGGCAGGGAAGTGAAAGAAACCACAATTCCTGGACCACGAAGCAAAGCAGCTTATGATGAGGTTTAAGCACACTAAGACTCTCTTGTTTAACTTATCCTAAGCATAAAAATGGACTGCACAGTCAGAATAGTGAGAGGAAGCACACAGCTTCAAATGTGAGTTATA